ATACTATAGTATATAGTATACTATAGTATACTATATACTATAGTATACTATAGTATACTATATACTAAATTCTGACAGACGTTGACAAGAAAAAGCTAAGCTAAACTAGAGGAAGTGCGTTTCCTGTGAAAAAACAGCGTGAACGCTGATTTCAGAAGAACTTGCTGAAAAACAGCTGAAATGGAAGAACAAGCATAAATTAGCAGAAGAAAGTAGAAACAACATATATTTGTTGAATTTGGTTTAAATCAGGGGTGCCCAAAGTGGAGTGGCTGATTTGTGTATTTTTAAAATGATTTTAGTAATCTATATTCTTGTGTTTTATTTTTTCCTACCTTCAGCTTCCTGCCGCTGAATAACATTTTCATTGACAGAGCGGGGAGCTCCGGCTGCTTGTCCTTTTGAGGGACGTTGGTTGGACGCTACGTATTATTGCATTTGGCTCGAAACCCTCTGATAGATTTTAAATCAGGCCCTCTCAGGAAAAAGTTTGGGTTTAAATGGACAGAAATGAGCGTAACAATCAGGAAATTAGCTAAAGAAAGCTGAAATTAGCACAAAAAATGGCTGAAAAGGCAGAAAGAAGCGTAAACTACCAGAAGAAAGTGAAAAGAGGTGAAATGAGCTAAAAAAAAAATGTGGAAGTAGCTGAAATTAGCATAAAACGGCTAAATAGTAGCTGACATAGGAGAAAAAACTGAAACGTGCATGAAAGCAGCATAACCAGTTGAAATTAGCAGAAAGAAAATGAAAGGAGCAAAAAACAGCTGAAATTAGCTGAAAATAGCTGGAAAAAATGTTTATATTTGTACAAGCTGATGTGAACGCAGCCGTAAAAGGTTGTAAACAGATCTAAAGATTGGAAGGATGGAAAATGAGCTCAATTCAATTTCTATGAGAAAAAAAAAATGGTTGAAAAGGCTAAATATTTAAAAAAAAAGCTAAAGTTGCACCAATACCAGGTGTTGGGTCCACCTCCGTTTAATAGAAATATTTAGTTTTAGTTTAAATCGCTGTTTTCATGAGACAGTGCCACTTTGTAAATTGCACCCGTTGTGATGTGGCAGACTCTGACAGGCTGGAGAACCAGCTGGAGGAGGCGGTCACGCTCCGACAGGACTACGAGAGGTCCGCCTCCAAGCTGAAGACCCTGGAGAAGCAGGTGAAGACCCTGAGGCAGGAAAAGGAAGACGTCCACAAGGTAAACCATCTCGGTCGTTGTAGCGATGACCAGAAGCAGCTTCGTTTGGAGCTGCTCACCTGATTCCGTCTGCAACTCTGAAATCTAAACCGTCACGTCCTTTTAATTGTTTCTTCTCTGAGCAGCAACTGGCCGGCTCGCTGGAGCATCTCAGGAGTCAGACGAAGGAGCTGAAGGAGGCGCACTCTCTGAGGAAGGTGGCCATTCAGGAGTCCTCCGACCTGTCGGAGCGGATGTCCGAACTGCGCTCCTCCAAACAGCGTCTGTCCCGTCAGCTCCTGGACAAAGAGGAGGAGATGGATGTGCTCCGCCAGAAGATGGACACCTTGAAACAGGAGATACGCAAAACGGAGAAGAACCGTAAAGAGGTGAGCAAGACGAGGAGGAGGAGGAGACATTCTTAGTACACCTGTGAAATTAAAGCGCCGTTCTAAGGTCAGAGAATTGTGCTTCAACATCTGCGACATGCAGCTAGTGAAAGTTGAGTTTAGACAAGAGTTTATCAGCTGCAGTTTCAGTGTCGACCACTAGAGGGAGACACATGTTGGTGTCACACCTTTCCATGATCACTGGGGCTTTTTAATCAAGTATCCACCTTTAGTCCTAGGCCCCATGGTTCCTTGAATGAATTATGGGCGCGACTTACGGCGTGGACCAGAACCTGTTTGTTTATGTGGAACAGTACGAGCTAATTTAGTTTCTCTGAGCAATGTGGGTTTAATTTAAACGTGTAGGAACACCACCTGTCAGAGCTCCAACAGGACGATATGATCATACAGCGGCCTGCTGAGGACGAGCTGAAGAAGTGGCTGCAGGTTACAGCTACTAGCATATTTAGCTACTTATTCTAGCATATTTAGCTACTTCATGGACTCGGTTCTAATGACGGTGAAGTGATGAACGAGCTGAACAGCTCTGAGTGTATCAGTGTCTCCACAGTAATAAGGTCGGTGGTGTTTTGTTAAAAGAGGTGGGACACAATCTTCTTGACCTTAAATCAGACACAGAGCTAAAGTCTTTAAGTCCTCCATCACTGATCTTGGGTTCATTACAAAGAAAATCATAACTGAAGATGAACAAATATATAAAGCTGTGACCTCCGTACACCTGAAGTCAGACCTGATGTTCTCGTCACTGTTTTCAATCCTTCTGAGGATCCGGCGTCTCTTCTCCGGTGGTTTATTGTCGTCCAGACTCAAAGTAGGACGCAGGTTTTCCTCCGTCGGCCGTTTGTCAACAGTGACATGAGCTCACAGACAGAGTTTTGGGTTTTCTCTTCAACTTCACATTGTTCAGACATGTTCTTCTTAATTCCTCATCTGCAGGCGGGAGATGAAACTATAACTCTTTACACAGGAACTCTCTTTTTGTTTTACTCTGTTGTTGGAGCCACTGATTTAGTTTGGTCTGGTTGTTCCGCAGCCCTGAACACAACGGGTACCTGAACGCAGCACGGCTATTTTAGTAAACTTTATGGTTGTTAAATAAATGTGAACAAAACAAAATCAGAGTTTTATCTTCTAAACTGAATGTAAATTACTTTCAAATAAACCGTGGTCCGTGCTCCACTACCATGGCTACTTCCTGTCTGACAGGAAGTTGTACCCTGAATCATTTCTACAGTAGAGCTCTTGGAATAAGATGGATAGGAATTATTTTTCTATTTCTGTTGCATCACAGCTTTTTGTTTGACGTAGATATCGGTCTGTCGTTTTGAAGAGAACGTTAGGATGAAACTGATTATTTCCATGTAAAACAGTTAAAACGTTAAAGGACACGCTTCAACACTCGTTCAAGTCTGTAGGTAATTAAACACGTTGAAGATGTTTAACCAGCACTGCGTTGGAAAGATAAAGCTAACTTAAACACCATTTCTTCCAGTCTGACGTTTTTATCTCTACAAATTAAAGCTCGTGTCTCGCCGAGCTTCGAGAGTTGGGCGACAAATTACGAGGGAGTTTCCAAAATGTTTGAGGGTTCTCGATGTCCTCGTCTCAGTTGCAGGACCTCAGGGTCTTGTTGCTTAGCTTTCTGAGCAAAACAAGGTTTCTCCCACGATTTAGTGACCTGCTACCTGTTTAATGTATTTATAGCTTGACCCCAGAGCGAGTCGAGCCAGCTCGAGCTGAGCACTTGACCCCACTTGCCCACAGTTAAGTCGAAGAGGCCGTATAAATGTTGGCAGCCGACTGAGCAGCAGCAGCTTCTGTCATTTTATTAATCTAGCAGCAAATCTGCACGACTAATTGCCAACCTGCATTATTTTAATTTTTCCATCACCTTTAATCGGTTCGTAAACGCGCACAGAAGCTCACTGCAGGTGTATTAAAGCAGATGCTGCTCGTGTTTTTTTTGACAAACTAACTTCTTTTTTCAGAAGCTGAATGTCTGGTTTGAGTAAAACTATTTTTATTTATTTTATTTCTTTTGTTTTGGGATATTCTCAGAAAACTGAGCTACAACCCTGATTGTACAGATCTAAAATGGCCATGCTGAGGATTAATAGAATATCTAACAAGGTTGAGTCAGATCCTCTTGTTGAAACTTTTCATCTTTTATCCAAAGGACTTCTTCAGTCTGAGGAGCTGCAACAAACTCAGTCTTATAAATAACATCTTCTCATAGTGGATCAGCCAGTGGAAGACCATCAGCTTAATGACTGATTGTTAATGCCCTGATGGCCGCTTGTTATTCACAGAGGGCTGAGTGATACTAGCAATCACAGCATTGTAAGAGGGGGACAGTTGAACCAGGAGGCTCCGCCCCTATTTAATGATGAATGATTTATTTTCACAAAGATGGCCTCCTTTACTCCTCTCTCAAACCATCGTTCCTCTCTGTCCAGGATGTGAACATCTTCATCCCTGAAAGAGTGACCTCTGACCTGGAGATGAGTGTAGACCGCAGAGTCCTGGCCTGATGATGTTGATGAGATATTCTATTTATCTCATCAACATCATCAGGCCGTTTAAAAAAATGACAAATTTCTTAACTTTAGTAAAATCATAAACACGAGGGAGTCTGCCAAGGTGGGGACAAGATCAGGTACGATGTAGGCAACAAAGTAATGTGCACGGCCAAGAATACAGTTTGTCGTGCACACGTTATAAAATAGGCGACACCTTTCAGTGAAGCATTTGTGTGTTGGAGTGGACAAAAATCAACTAATTAATAATTCTGGTTAACAAGATATTTTCTGTGTGACGTTGCAGAGAAACGACGTTAAGACTTGTTTGGGTTTATTTTTAGAAAAGCACTTGTGTTGTTGTGCTTTTCACAATAAGAGCCTCTTGTTTGTGTGTCAGCTGGAGGCTCAGCTGGATGAATCGAAGGCGGAGGCGTCGAAGGAGAGGAAGCTGCGAGAAAACAGCGAGGTTTATTCCAAACAGCTGGAAACGGAGCTGCAGAGCCTGAAGGTCAGAGGCAACATCCCACGTCACATCGTTTTAGTCTAAACCTCCAATTGGACCCTAAAAAGTCCTGGTTCTGGTCTCAGTCTCAGCAGGGTCGAGGAGTAGCAGCAGCAGCAGGAGCAGGAGGCGGCGGTGCGGAGTCTCAGCAGGAGCTGTCCCGTCTGAAGGCGGAGCTGGATAAGAAGGTGCTCTTCTACGAGGAGGAGCTGCTGAGGAAGGACTCGGCCCACTCCACCGAGATCAAAACCCTTCGCAAAGACCTGCAGGAGTCCGAGGGGGCGAGGCTCGCCACCAACAAGGAGCTGCTGCAGCTGCAAGACAAGCTGGACAAAGCTGTGAAGGACAGGTGAGGCCCTGAACCAGGTTCAAGGAGAAGGGCAGAGCAGTTCTAAACCAGACTCGTGTCTCTGCAGGCAAACTGAGATGGATGAGGCCGTGGCTGCGCTGAGGGTGAAACATGAACGAGAGATAAACCTGCTGACGGAAGAGAACCGTAAACTGACGGCTGAGATGGACGAGGTGAGCTGAACCGCTGAAGCTACGATGTAGCACGCTGCAGCCGGTTGGTGGACCACTCGTCTTCAGATTTGTAGAACCACTGTTGAGTTTGTGTCTTCTGCAGTTGTGTTCCTTGGTGGACAAGTTGACGGCTCAGAACCGGCAGCTGAAGGACAACCTCGAGGATATGTCGGCCAAGAAGGAGAGCGTGGCCCACTGGGAGGCTCAGATCGCAGAGATCATCCAGTGGTGAGTCTCCTGTCTGGCAGATATTCAGACACTCGTCCACCAGGTGGAGCTGTGGGCTCAACCTGGTCTGGTTTGCTCGTTTCAGGGTCAGCGACGAGAAGGACGCTCGAGGGTACCTGCAGGCTTTGGCCACCAAGATGACAGAGGAGCTGGAAACGCTGCGCACTTCCAGCCTGGGCACCAGACCTCTGGTAAACACAGAACCAGTGGCCCTAAAATAAGTATTTAGGGATTTTATTGTGAAAGGTGTGGAGAGAACTTGTTTACCTGCTAGGTCTTTGGGTACTTTTGTCTGTTGTTGCACCTTTTCAGGTGCGACAGCAACAAAACTTGCATTTCCTAAGAAAAGAAGCTGATAAATTCTCCGCAGCTCTGACGTCTGATCTGTACCTGAGTGTGTGTTTTTGAACCTGCTGTCACAGCCTGAGTCAGGAGTGGCCACGCCTCCTAAGAAACCCTGGCCTCTTATTGGTGGAGACAGGAGGGTGAGTTGGGAGCCACTCTTTAAGAAGCTTGCATGGCTAGCAGCGTGCATGTGGACCGTTTGTAGCATAAGAACCACAGAGTACAGGTTCTGGATCTTCTTGTTGGACTCCTTTTGCGTCTCAGACGGGAACACGGAGAGAATCAGAAGATCTTGGAATTGTTTCTGGGTGTAACAAAGACCAGAGGATCTTCAGAGATCCTGAACATGGTCTTCGAGGTCCTTCTGTGGGACTGCTTTACATGAAACCAGCAGCCATGAGGAGCACTTTAAGGATCCCTGAAGTGTTCCTCAAGTTTAGCTGTGTTTCTAAAGTTATTGTTTGTTATTAGAGTTCATCAGGCTGGCTCAGCCATCTTTGATGGGATCCTTTAAGGCGTCCTGCTGGTCTCTACTGGACTGGGTTATAACCACAGCCAAATACTACGAAGCAGGTTCAACTTTTGAATCCTGTTGGTGATGGTGGATTTATTTACACTGCTCCATCAGGATCCTCTCCAGACTTGAACAAAAGTTGCTCTTCGCATGCGGCCAGTTTCGGTAAACGATTTCTCGCCGCTAGTTATCCAAGTCTCCCACCGAGCCCTGAATGCCGCATTAATGCACGATTCACACCGATGTCGAGTGGCTGCAAATACTTGGTTGTGCCCCAGGCATCACGTGATCACGGGACGTGTATTGAGCAGCTGTGCAAGCGCCCAGTTGTGACGAGGCTAAATGTTTTGGTGGCATGAAGCTCCGTAGCCCATTAAAAATCCATAAATTAGCCGCATCATTGTATAAGTTGCTATATGCTTCGACGCTGAAAGTCCTGAGTTGAACCTGAAGTGTCGCCGATGAGACTCGTCCTGCTTCGTGGTAACTGTTCCAGCATCAGCTAAAGGTGGTGCAGCAGCAGCAGCTTCGGCTAGTTTTATTACGTCAAATCATTTCCTTCTCATTTTCTCACTGGCTGCTCAGATTGGCCGACTAGACGAACGCAGATGTCTTTAATGTTGCCATGGAAACCAGTTTAGGACTTGTCCTCGTTCTGCCTTTCCTCCACAGGACCCGCTGTGGAAGGTCCGTCGCAGTCAGAAGTTGGACATGTCGGCCCGCCTGGAGCTCCAGTCGGCTCTGGACGCGGAGCTGAAAGCCAAACAGCTGGTCCAGGAGGAGCTGCGCAAAGTCAAGGCTGCCAACATCAACCTGGAGAGGTCAGAGGTCACACAGAACCCTCCCCCCCCCCGGCTCCCCTGTGGGTGTGTCCTTACCTGCACGTGTCTGTCTTCTGTCTGCAGCAAGATGAAGGAGTCCGAGGAGAAGAAACGGGAGGTGATGGAGCAGCTGGACAGCCTGAAGAAGGAGATGGAGGAGAGCCGCTCCCGCTCCGACAAAGGTGAGGCGTCCTGAAGACTCTAATGAAACCACAAACCAGTTCTGTGTTTAACTTGTTGGGCGTCTGCAGGTCTGAAGCTTCCGGACTTCCAGGACCCCCTGTTTGCTTACTTCAACACGTCTCCTCTGGCGCCAGACCTCACCTTCAGAGTGAGTCCACCCCCACACCCCCCACCCCCCACTCCCCCAAACACACCGACTGATCAGTTAGGATCACAAACAGAACCGGGCATGTCTCAAATTATTATTGTTTCTCTTTTTAATATCGAGGCGTCACTTTGCTCCGCCTCCTCTCTGCTCGCCCTTTGGGAAGAAGTAAGTTTGTCCGCCAGGTTTCCCAAAACCTTCAGTGTCAGTGTCCCCCCCACCCCCACCCCACCTGCCTTCACAACCATCACTGTACCTCCACCCACAATCTATCAGTCCTCTGTCAGGTCTAACCTCGATCATAGATTTTAGATGGAGAAGCTCAACAAATGACCACGCCCACATCACATAGCCCCGCCCATATGATTCAAATCCACTCACTCATGAAGGCCCCTCCCCCCGCAGCCGTCTTTCTCTCCGTGTTAGTCTTTTTACAACAGTAGTTGAGTAATCTGTAGATGGTGTAGAGAATGGAGTCCTGATTGGTTAATTGGAGTCAGGTGTTCTCAACACTTTTAACTCGTTTTTGTTTTTTCAGCCCGGAGACTTCGAAACCACGTCTGTGAAATCAGGGACCACGCCCTCCTCACCCTCCTTCACCTTCGAGAACGAGGTCAGTCGGCGTGCGCGTTTGAAAACGTCTGTTTACCAACAAGTTTGCTTATCGGGGTTCATCTTGTTTTGTTTGTGTCAACAGGACAACAAAACACAATCAGTCCCTCCCAGCCCCTCCCCCACCTTACAGAGCTCAGCACTGACCGTGCCAAAGGTAAACCACCTCCTCCACAGGTGTTTCACTAAACTGGGAGGGGCTTGTGCAAGCTGTGAGCTGCTGTGTAATCGTTCTTCCTGCTGCAGAACCTATGACTCATAAAGTTGTTTTGTTTCCAGCCTAAAGCTCACCAGCTGAGCATCAAGACCTTCTCCAGTCCTCTGTTCTGCTCCCACTGCTCCTCTCTGATGGTGGGCCTCTGCCGGCAGGGTTACGGCTGTGAAGGTACACATCGCCACACTCCCACAGACTCACAAACAGCCTGCAGGTACTTCCACACCTGCTGATGCCGGCGCTTACAGACGCTTCCTGTTTCGTGCGCTGCGGCAGCTTGGTGGTTTAAGTAACCGGATTTATTCTCCACCTTCTACAAGAACGTTCCACAGAACAGAGCTGATGAAGAACTGATCAGACCTGATCCGGGCCTTGATTCAGGTCCAGTCAGCCCCACAACAAAGATTTAGTGAAATGAATGTTTTCTTCTGTGTTTAAATCCGTGAGTCACACTCTGACAGCATTTATACTTAAAGAAAGATTTATAATTGTAATTTCTAATTTAATCCCAGTGTGTCTGTACATTTAGGTTTTGTGCAAACTGAGAACGCTGCATCTTGTTTTCACATTTCATTTTGTCGTGTTGCTGCTTTTTGTGTAACGAGCTGAAAGCATCGGTGGAGTCTACGGTTCTTTTCTGCACGGGGCGGCTTTTTGGACCGTAAAGCACAGATGTTACGATTTTATGTTTAAACAAAACTTAACATTTTATTCAAACACAAGTTTTACATTTTGAAGGAGATTTTCTCCGAGAAGTGGAACACTTTGATGAAAAACACACACAGTTTCTGTTTTGAGGGGAAATATCTGCCTAGAAGTTGATTCAAATTCAATTTATTAATTGATTTAAAATCACACAAGTTTGATCAAAGTGCTAATAAACAATAAATCAGACAAACTGGTGAAAGCACCTCGCTTTAGTAAAATTCAAACGAATAGGGAAAAATATTATTACAAAATCTACAAAAAGCAAAAAGATATATATATTTTTTGTCAATCTCTGCCAGATTTAAACACAAATTAAAAGTTGAGTTTTCAGCAACTTTCTGAAAGGTCCAGTGTTGGAGACGTTTCAGGGAGTGAGAGCTGCCAGTTAAAGATCTCGTCTCTGTTTTGGGTCGGCGCCTAGAAGGATTTGATTCCTGGACTTGAGTTAAAGGAATCGGTTTCTTACGGAGTCTGGTTTTGACTGGACCACCCTTAATAATTTGGGGGCTGCGTATGAGATGCCACCTGGCCTAGAATCAGGAGATCATAATTTTATCCAACATTTTTTTGATTATTTTACCAAAAGAAATGAAAGCCTGATCAGTCCCTTTTCCATTTCATGCAACCTGAGACTCCTGTGTGTCCTCCTCAGTGTGCTCCTTCATCTGTCACATCTCCTGTAAAGACCACGCCCCCATGGTCTGTCCAATCCCGGCCGAGCAGGCCAAGAGGCTGCAGGGCATCGACGTCCATCGGGGCTTCGGCACGCCGTACAAGGGCTACGTTAGGGTAAGAGCGTCGACGCCACGTGGTGCTGGCTCGGACACATCGGTGAAACGTTTTCTTAAACCGTTTTTATTTGTGCCAGATCCCGAAGCCCAGCGGCGTGAAAAAGGGCTGGCAGCGAGCGTTCGCAGTGGTCTCCGACTGTAAACTGTTTCTCTACGACATTCCAGAGGCCAAGTCGACTCAGCCGGGCGTGATGGCCAGCCTGGTGCTTGACCTCAGGTAAACCAGGTCCCGGGGGTCAGAGGGTTCACACAGTTTTTGTCGTTCCTGAGAAGATTCATCCCACAGAGATGAATTCTTTTGATCTGAACACAATCTGCTCCACTTCAGGGATGAAAATTTGTCCGTCAGCTCCGTGTTGGAGTCCGATGTAATTCACGCCACCAGGAAGGACATTCCCTGCATCTTTAGGGTAAGAAACCCCGTTCCTGTGAACCCTTGCCGATTGACCTTTGACCCGAGCCACTTCTGATCTTTTCTCTGCGTCGTCGTTGATGTGAGCAGGTCACGACTTCGCAGCTGGTCTCGCAGTTCTCCTCGATGTCTCTGCTCATCCTGGCGGAGAACGAAACGGAGAAGAAGAAGTGGGTCCGGGTCCTGGAGAGTCTGCAGACTTTCTTGACCAAGAATCAGCTGAAGAGCCAGCAGGTCCATGTCCTGCACGAGGCCTACGATGCCTCGCTGCCCTACATCAAGACCACGCTGTGCGCCGTCGTGGTCGGTGAGTCTCGACTGCTCCGAGGAGGTTTCAGGAAGGAGGATTATGGGTCTTCACACGCATAAGACCAATAACAAAACTAAACATTGCATCATAGCAAAACCACATCTGACTTTTTAAAATAAGAATATAAAATTACATTTAATAGTTGACAGTGTTTAGTTTTTAAGGTGATTATGGAAAAGCTAATAGAAATATTGCCTTGAAAAAGTTTAAAAATCCAATTGTTTTAAGTACCGTACTTTACGCCGTATAAGTCGCATCGGTCCAAAAATGTCTTAAGTGGAAAAAAACATAAGTCGCTTCACCATACAAGTCGCATCATTACGCGTCACCGCTGATCACCTGGAAACATGGGCCGGTGTTGTGCCAAAAATCAATTGGCTACCAAATGGCGCCCGTGGGAGCGTGCACGGGAAGACTTTAACAAGAATTTAACAAGATTAACACTTAAAAACAATTATTTGTTTGCTCGAAATTACAGTAAAGGTGTGTCTCAGTTTAACTTTTCCTTAATAAATGCACTTTAATGGTCAAATCAGCTGCATTTCTCCGGGCGGCGCGGTGAAATGACGCTGATTTGACGTTCGCTCCAGCAGTTCTGGAGCGAGACGAAGGTGTCTTGGTATGGCAAGCCAAGTGTCTCATTAATAGCCACTTTTACCTATTAATGAGACACTTGGCTTGCCATATTACTTGCGCGCCCTCTAGTGGCTGAAAATGTTAGTATTCAATATTTATCATGTCAGAATGAATGAAATCATCAGATCTCAGCCAAAAATTGGGTTCTAAACATAAATAAGTCGCTTCGTCATATAAGTCGCAGGACATGCAAATTTACGCAAAAGGTGCGACTTATACGGCGAAGCGTACGGTAGTTTCATTGTTAAATTGTTTGTTTTTCAGATCGAGAGCGGATCGCTCTGGGAACAGAAGACGGGCTGTTTGTGGTTGAGGTCACCAGAGACAGTGAGTCGTAAACAAATGAAATGTTGCTGTTTGAAACGATGTTTACACAACTGGACATGAACAACAATCATGTAAATAAAATGCTAACGGTAGTTGGTGTCTCACCGGGCTACTAGTTAACGAACTGCGTATGTGGAGAGTCTCCAGGACGCTGGACCACGTGTCGGTTTCTGACCCCCCCTGTCTTCTTGCAGTTATCGTCCGAGCTGCCGACAGTAAGAAGGTTTGTCAGATCGAACTCATTCCCAAAGAGAAGATCATCGCTCTGCTCTGCGGTCGAAACCGCCAGGTCCACCTTCACCCCTGGGGAGTTCTGGAGGGCGCAGACTCCTCCTCTGACAGCATCAAGCTGGGGGAGACCAAAAACTGTCAGGTCATGACCACAGGCGTGCTCCGGCCTGGTGGCCCCGCCTGCCTGCTGGCTGCCGTCAAACGTCAGGTCAGAGCCCCGGAGGTTCGTCTGCAGCAGTTCTGCGGTTGTGGTCGCGGTCCTAAATCTACGGTTCTGTCCCCCCCACCTGCAGGTTCAGTGCTACGAGATCATTCGATCGAAGCCGTACCATAAGAAGCTGTGGGAGGTGCAGGCTCCGGACATCGTGCAGTGGCTGGGGATGCTCCGGGACCGGCTCTGTATGGGTTACTCCTCCGGCTTCGCCCTGCTGGCCATGCAGGGCGAGTCGTCCCCCATCAGCCTGGTGAACCCGGCCGACCCGTCCCTGGCCTTCCTGGCCCAGCAGCCCATGGACGCCCTGCATGCCCTGGAGGTCGGCGCCAGCGAGGTTCTGCTCTGCTTTAGCAAACTTGGCATCTACGTGGACGGACAGGGCCGCAGGTCCCGGACTCAGGAGCTTATGTGGCCCGCCACGCTGCTCGCATGCAGTACGTCCCTCCTTCTAGTTGTTGTTGTAGAACAGGTGCAGCTGGGAGAGTAAATGATCACATCTGGAACAATAAGTGAAGTGGAGTTGGGTTTTATATTCTAGTGCACGCGCGTCCGTTATTAACAATAACCATCATGGTGCGAACACGTCAGACCTTTCAGGTTCGATCAGTTCTGCTGGTTTCTCACCTGTTGTCTCCCATCAGGTTCTAACTCCTCTCACCTGACGGTCTACAGTGAATACGGCGTTGATGTTTTTGATATTCACACCACAGAGTGGGTCCAGACCATCCCCCTCCGCAAGGTACAACATTCATGATCCAAACTGTCGCCTAATAAAAAAATGTACAAGTTTCCACTCAGAGCTCCGTGTCCCCGTCTTCAGATCCGACCGCTGAATGTTGAAGGGACGTTGAACCTGCTGGGTTCAGAACCTCCTCGTCTGATTTTCTTCAGCAACGCCTCGTCAGGTAAATCACTGAACACGCCCGACGCCTCGGACCTGCCCAACCACACGAGCTAACGCGTTTCACCTCCTCAGAGGGCGACCTCACCATCCCAGAGACGATGGACAACAGCAGGAAGTCGATGGTTCGAACCCGCAGCAAAAGGAAGTTCCTCTTCAGCGTTCCTGAAGACGTGCGGCTTCAGCTGATGAGGTAACCGCTCGGCTTCGGTCCACAGGAAGTCTGTTCCCCGAACACAATCACAGCCGTGTGGCGCCGCTTACCGAACATGTCCAGGGCTTGATTTGTAAACCGGTTGATGCCGGAACAAAAATACTGTGGGGGTCCTGGGGAACACGTCTGCTGACAAGACAAGAACCTGACCAGCTGTTTAGAACAGAAACAGCCTTTTGGTCCCACGGATGGGAAATTGGAGTGTAACGGATAAAAAGAGTTCCTAAAATATTAAGACGTGATAAATGGGATTTGTGTGTGCGCATGTACATGGATATGTCAGTGTCTGGAATGAATCAATAAAAAATAAGTAAAATAAAAAAACAATACATAAAGAAACAAGATAAACAATAATAATGCTCAATGTGTGTTGGAACATTGATAAACAGTGCAGTATTACAGGCAGAGAGTTGTAGCAGAGGTCAGCATGTGTTTAATCCTTGTTGGGTTTGTTGGGACCAGTGATGGTCCAACAGCTGCTGGGAGGAAGGAGCTGCAGGAACGCTCCTTTGTGCATTTAGGATGCAGCTCTCCAGTTCAGCAGCAGCTTCATGGGGTGGGAGACGTTGTGTTACAGGTAGCTGGAGTCCTTCTGTCTCCCAGCACCTGCACTGGGTCGAGGGGGCGTCCCAGCACCTGCACTGGGTCGAGGGGGCGTCCCAGCACCGAGCTGGTCTTCTTGATCTTCTCTCGCTGCTTCTTCTCAGCTCATGATGATCTGCTGCTCCAACACACGACACCAGAGAAGATGGCTGATGCCACTACCGAGTCAAAGGAGTTTAATGACATAAAACATATTTTGTTAATAAAGAATAGAGTCCTAACATTTATTAAACTTCTGTATTTACAAAATAAATCAAAATTGAGCTTTGACAAACTAAAAAAACAAAAATAAAATGGTTAAAGTGAAAGAGGTGCAGGTATTAACTCTCTTTGAGTTTATACTTTGTCTCATGCGCGCTGTGGGTGACGAGCGTGATAAACGCAGCAGAGGAGGTGTCGGAGTTATTTATTTATCGTCTCGCAGCAGAGGGGAGCGGCACGGTTCAAGCCCCGCCCCCAAAGCAACAAATTATTTGTTCATAACTTTTTATTTTTAGGCCGGAGTGTTGCCAGAACACACCCTGTCAAAATAAGAGTTCCCGGATCTTGTTCCGGCAGGATCCGGATCCAATTAAGTCCTGGTCAGGTCTAAACATGCGTCAGGTTTCTGGAAAGAGTCCGAGTTCATCAGTGACGAGCGTTGAAACACAGAGCGGGTCTGAGTCGGCAAAACAGAGTTCCAACGAGTCGTCGTGCTGAACCAGGCCGAAGAGAAGCGCTTTGAATTTTACTCATGTTTGTTCACCTGTTGTTGTTGTTTACCTGCTGTGTGTGTTTACCTCTACTTTGTATTCATCTCTGTTTGTTGTCCTGTTGTTGTTTACCTGTTGTGTTTCTTTACCTCTACTGTGTATTTATCTGTATGTTGACCTATTGTTTGTTCTTTACCAGTTTTGTTGTTGTTTGTTGTTTACCTGTTGTTTGTGTTTACTTCTGTTGTGTATTTATCTCTGATGTTTGTTGTCCTGT